GGGGTCCCCAGCGCGGTTCGGCGGGGTTGTTCCCCCCACGCAGCCGACTGCCCCGGGGACCCCTGGGCGTGCAGGCATCGGGGAGCGAGGCCCGGGCAGCAGGGCTTCGGCGGGCTCTGCTTCCAACCCGTGAAGCAGACGGCCTGCACCCATCCGTGTACCGCTTGTGTTCATCTACCCTGGGCAACTGCCGAGTCTGCCGTAGCGTTCCAAAGCTGGTATTAAGGCTGAAATTTGGCCGTGAAGCTGTACTTTCCTTCAATGGGGTGTGCACCTGGTTAAATGGGTGTTTTCCCAGGTTCTTACCTGCTGGCAGAAAAGAAGCCTAGCAAGTCTTTGGACAAGACCTCCCAGTGGGGAGTAATCTCCACTCTTGGCCACTGAGACGCTTTCTTAGGAAAGCGGGGAAACCAGAGTTACCAATCTGCAGTTTGGAGATAAAACCTGAATGTCATCTCAACACAATTATGAGCAACATTGCTCCAGCCCTTGTCCAGGGAAAGGGTGCTTTCCTTGGCAGACCCATATCCTGCGTTCAGACCCTTGTCCTTCAGTGTCCCAAGAAACATAAGGTGGTGGGATCATGGTGTGGTGCTCACTGCAGTGGAAAGACACAGATACTTAGCAGATACTGGAGCATGAGTATTCTTTATGAGCCCAGAGGAGTTTCCCATTTTTGAGGCACAGTCCCTTTGGAAGTGCCGTTCAGCTGCAGCCAAGGCTCTAAGTACCAGCAAAGCTTAAAACAGCAACAGATAGAGCTGGATCATCTCTGTTACCCCTGTTACTCTGGTGCACTTTGGTGCCTCCATCTAACTAACCTAGTCATTACATCACGTTAAAGTGCAGCTAGGTATAGCTGAAGGGCATTTATAAATGAAATTCAGATACATTTTATTCAAAATGATACATATTTTAGCTATACTTACATTTCCTATGATAATCCTCACCACACACTAAAAGGGATTTGTGTCATGGACCATATCTTCAGTTACATTTGTAGACTGTCTTACAGTTGAGGCCCACATGCGGTCTTTGGATATTATTCCACTAGACATGGTGACTAGCAGCCAATTTATTCCTTATCAATACTGGCTCATTCAAAATCCCTGTAATAATCCATAAGATCTGTTATACAGTGTAGACTATAAAGCTTGTCCCATCTTTCAAGTAAAAAAAATCTCTTTCTCTCATTACGTATGATAATAATTCATGATGGGCTATTTATACAGTGTTTTTATAAACTTACATAAAACATTTTATATTTGCAATTTTAAAAAAAAAAAGTCAACATTACATTGACGTTCTAAATACACTTGTTGCAAATGTAGCCTTTTTTTTTTCTTTCTTGAAGGCACACAGAGAATCTCCATTAGTCCTACTGGAAAGTATCTTCATGAAGAGGAGAGAAAACTTTTAAGTACATTTAGTAAATTCTTTAAAGAAGTGGTAAAATATACTAAATGTGTTTTTAAACTGAGCTTCTATACACCACTTCTATTGATTTTAAATCATGATGAGGCATAAATTGAAAACATGCATACATCTGACAGCAACAATTTCTAAATTTGAAATGCAAAACTCAAAACAAATTCTGTACTTCATTAGTGCTATGCAACACTGTTAACTTTGCAGGTATTTTATGGGAGCAAATGAAAGCATAACAGGACCTATGGATCCTCTTTCCTTTCATATGAAACTTCTTTAATCCTTTTGCTGAATATGAGCACTCCAGTAGAGATATATTATTATTGAATATGGTTTAAATAACTATCCAGCACTTTCTGTGTAATTAATATTGCATATGTTATGCCTGAAAGTATGCGATCCATACTTTCAACTCTGTTTGCCAAGCATCAATTCAGAGCTGGATACAACACAACAGACTGTAATGTCCATCCAGCACTTTAAAGCAATAATGTATTCACAAGTATTGCTCTTCAATTTATCAAGCAGATAGAATAGGTGCTTTGCCAACACTGGTGACTGCAGCGTGCCAAGCTATCAGGTGTTGTGTAATCACCAATAACATGTGCCTAGCTTTAATCTAGCAGTTCTCTGCTTTTGTGATCTACCATATATTCAGCACCCTGATGTTTCCTCATTGCCTATCATTGGTATGACACGAAGCAACATCTGCTGCCATGTTTATACAATGATGGAAGTAAACGGGGTTCAGGAGTTCTTCAGAGCTAAAGTTTCCTGTCCCACTGAATGCTTTTTTAACGGGCTTCCTGTAGGGCTACAGCTATTAATCCAGATAGAGAGTAACAGCTAACTAATTAAATATCAATTCTCTAAATTGATGAACATACAGAAAATAATCTGTTTTACCTCTCCTAATGCATCTTAATACCTATCACACATTTCTGGATACATAATTTACTCACATGTGTTTTAATTCTGTGAGACAAAAATATGTTATGTTACCCTCAGATATTAAAAGAAATTAGAAATAAATCAGGAACCTTGTTTTAGATAACAATTTTAAAAACAATCTTGACTATGTGCTACCTGAATATGTGTGACAGAAATGATATATGACATCTAATAAGCACACACTTGTGTAAATGAAACAAAAGGAACTACATGACACAAGATGTCTTATTATGGTTAATAAACAAAAAATACCAAAGTTTTGGACACACCTGAAAGAGACAAATATGCAGTTGCAATGTAGTGAAGACTGGAAGCTAATCTAGCAAATTGTTATTGAAGAAGTTTAACTGTTGGCAAACATCAACAAAATTTTTAATGCACTAGTTCAAAAACTGAATCATTCCAGAAAGCCAACTAACAGGACATGTTTAACCAATGAAGTGTACAGATACTAGGTTTATGTAAGAAAGCTCATTAAGAATGTTCATGATCTTAAGCAATTATTTTGAATGAGCAGGGAAGTTTGGGTTGTTTGTCTGACGCCAATTAGCATTTCAAAGGAAGCCGTCTAAACAGTTTCTGAAAGAAGATGTCAGACATCCTCATAGACACAAATAATCATACCCATCCTTGATGCAACTTCCCTGCAGTAAGCACAGTCACACCGATGATTAATTTGGCACTTGACTTCTCTGGGTAGGCTCTACATCGGTAGAGTCTTCCCAGAGAAAGAATAATACCTGACAACATGTTTGTTTGTTTGTTTTGTTGTGTTGTTTTTGTTTTGTTTTTTTTTTTTCCTGGAAAATTTGCAGACAGTGAAAGTACAAGGGAATGACATCTCCCACAAGCTGCAGATTTCAAAAGTGAGGAAAAAGGATGAAGGCTTGTATGAGTGCAGGGTGACCGATGCCAACTATGGAGACCTTCAGGAATACAAGGCCCAGGCATTTCTTAAAGTCAATGCTAACAGCCATTCTCGGCGAATGCAAGCCTTTGAGGCATCTCCAATGTGGTTGCAAGACATGAAACCTCGCAAAAACATCTCAGCAGCTGTTCCAAGTAGCATCCATAACTCTGCCAATCAGCGTGTGCGTGCCACCTCCAGCCCTGAAGCAGCAGCCAAAATCCCCAAACAAAGTCCACAATCAGGTATGGTAAAGCATTTTGAGCTTTCATTTGATTGCTTACCAGCATGTAAAAGGAGGCTAACTCAACAAGGTAACCATGAATTCTGACTAGGAAGAGTGTGGTGCTCATTTATTCCTCCTTCTTTTTGGCTCTATTCCTCCTGCTATCTCCTTACTTCCTAAAAGCTGAAGAATAAGTTTCTGGGCAGAAGAAGCAAAAAGTCTTAAATTTGTATACATGGATTTTATCTCTACTGGTTTTATCAACCTAAGGTTAGGTCTCTAATCAAAGCTTAGCTTTCCCTGTAGTGTGTGTGGAGAGAGGGGCATATCAGCGAATGACTCATCTCATTTTAAGATGGCTGTGCATGATAAATTAAATAAAACACCCATCCAGAAATGTTTCTTCCTTATTTACACGAGTCACCTAACTTGTATATCTCTTAACATCTGGTGAAATTAATCTACTTTTAGTATCAATCCTATTTTCATAAGGAACTTGACTTCTAAATCTAAGCAGACCTTAGATACACCAGATTGTTTCTCCATTGTGTAGGCTTTAGAAAGACCATGAGTTTGTCAGATAATGTGGGTTTGCCATCTTCAGCTGCTTGACCATTGTTTTTGAATCAAGCATTAAAATGGCAATGCCTCAATTGTGTGTCATGTCAAAATTAACATACTACACTTTTTGTTTGAGTGATTTTGTACAGCACTGTATAAATAACCTATAAGCAATGTAAGTCTGCATTTTCTACATCGATAGAGTAAAATCCACAGCTATGCAAAGGTACATGAATATACAGGAGGTACAGCTGTTGACCACTGTATGATGGCAATAGGGTTAAAAATTTGAGATGTTGTAAATGATCAAAAATCCTCTGGAAAGCAAACTGTGCAAGTCTAAGAGTTTCTGGGTTACTTCTGTCTGCACTGAGGGCCCAATGTAAGGCAGGAGATGACACCCTATCTTAAAATATATAATGGAAGCTCACTTAGTTTGTTCTGATGCATCATTTTTCTGCTAGCAAATGACGCACCATCAAACCAAAACTGGCAATACAACAAATTTCATAGCACGCTTACTGTGAGATCACTTTCAGCTTACAGGCATACTATTAGAAAAACATTTTGATAAGGAAAATACATTTCAATACAGATTGTGATTGTTCATATTACATTTCTTATTGCTATTAGCTAAGATGATGCACATACTACCACCATTTTACCTTTGTACACATTTTTTAAAAAATTATTTTATTCAGTTCTCTTTCCCTGAAATGCAGAAATGCAGTCACACTCATTTTTTAGCTCTTCCAAAAAATGTTTAAACTATTAGAAGAAAATAAATATTTCAACTGATTTAAAATCATCATTCCACCACGACTTTCCTTTCAGACAGTTGTATATATTGCTTCTTTTCCATTGGACTCATACATTTCAAAATAGCAGACTTGTCCATAAAGTGAAAATTCTGGCTTCAGTTCTATGTAATATTAATTAAAATAGTCACAAGTTGATGAAATACGTAGCTACAGACTACACTGCATTGCGGCCAAAGTGTGCACACAACAGCTAATCCACTAAATCACCTTGGATATAGAATTGAATCTATAATATTGTTTATGTCTTTAGTCCAATCAAAATCTTGCCTGATTACTGAATATTTGTTATTTGATAGTAGGTTATTACATTAAAAGGTCCTTGTAAAAAAAACCCACAGAAAAACTTAACCTTTATTTTTTTCCTTGAGCAAAGATTACTGCAGATCAAGTACAGACAATTGTAATCATAAATAATTTAAAAATTAAACAGACTAAGATATAATTTAGTTTATTAATTCATTTGTTTTATGATGAAGCACAGATTAATGCTGTATTCATCAGAGGTGAAACTCATTTACTGAAGAAACAAAGACTGTACCAAGAATCCATATTAGTCTTAATTTCAATTTAACGGTCACTTGCTACACAGTAATTACTGGTGATATTTTTGATGAACATCAGTTTAACTCTTGAGAACCAAGATTTACTTTCCTTTACTTGAGAAAATCTGGCTCTGATTTTCCCACTACAGTGTGATTTGGGTTTTCACTCCATTTTACACTCACTCTACACCAATAGAAATACCCATGTGAGCATGAGGCAGTGGGGGTTTTTAGCTCTATGTAACTTTGAGGAGCAACTTCAGCTAAGGAAGGAGAGACATCAGTTGTGAGACCTCAGAAAAGGAGAAAGGAGGTGTCATAGACAGTAATAGTCTTTCTTTTTATGAAATCAAATCAGCACAATCTCCTTATACTGTCAGATGAGAAACTTTTCCCTTCTTCAACATCACACTAACTATACATGCATGCATAAGACTGCTGTGTGATTATATTATGTAATCAACATATCCATCCAACCTAGAATACAGAAACATGGTTGAATACAAATTTATCATTATTAGCCACATGTGTGTATTTGAAAGACATAGGGGGTGACTCTGATGTGTTTGTTCATGTTGAGTAATACATTGACTTCAGCAATACTCTTTGAAGAGGGAAGTGCTATTAACCATAGGGAATTGTATCAGATATTCTCCAACATTAGAGATCCAGTGCATAGTTACTGGCAAACAATATATTTTACTGCCATGCTGACAGATGACTTTTTCTTAAATTATTTTTTATTGCAAAATATGTTTACAGCAGAAAGAAACATGACACTGCAGAATTGTTCAGCTGTTTCTCAAGAACTCAGCTACTAACATAAGAAAGATCGATTCTGAGTATATGAATATTTTGTCCCCAAAATTTATTTCTGAAAGGTAGATAACACTCCACTTAACTCCTTCAATCCTGAAGCGCACTGAAGAATTTAATTTATTTCTTAACAATACATATTTAATAGGTAGCTCTAGAAAAGCAGTTTATAGTCACTTCAATTTTAGAATATCAGTATTTCCCAACTGGGCATATATTTCTGCCATTCTCCCCCTTTCCTCAAAAGTGAGAATATATCTGATAACTATGAGGGAGCTATATAGCCAGGGCTGACAAAGTGATATGAGGTCCATTCAGCATTTTGTGCTTCTCTGAAAATGCTATATGAGTGTAAAAAATATATGTTTTTGTTAGCATAATGGAGATTCAATATAGGAAGAAATAGCTAAAGATAACATCTCCCACAGACAGTCTTCAGATAATATACTGAGAAGCACTAAATGTCTGCCTCAAAGTCAAAAAAGTCAGGAAAGCAAAAGTCAAAGCTAACACAGCTTGACCCTTTCATTTCATATTCATGGGCTGTAGCAATGAAGTAAACCATCCCATCTTAACAGGAATCTGAGTAATTTGACAGGCTAATCTGCATATATCCAGAAAATGTCCTATGTAGGTGGAGTGACAGACATTTTTTTCTACATAATTCATAACAACATATCTTAGTCCAAAGGTAAAAGTACAGAGTTATCACAGAACCTTGTAGCTCTAAGCAATGTAATTAACTGAGGTCCAAAAGCTGCAATGAATTCAGGTAAAAGGAAACAAAATAATCTGCAGGCTGCACCAAACCTTACTGTTTCATGGATATAAATCTAGACAAACTCTGCTACCTGCATTCAAGTCACTCAAAATTTATAGCATCACAAAGGGCTGCAGAAATTGATGTGCTGAGAATGTCTGTATCCCCCGAAGTCTTCCTGTACTGCCAAAGTACTCAAAGCCATTAGTTGCTTTTCAGACTCAAGAAGATCAGGCTTAAAGAACTCAAGAGAGAATAGCTACAAATGAAGACGTGATGTTAGGTCCATTTTATGACTGCTTACATACATACTCTGCACTTTTCTAGCAACTTTTTGTTTGTTCATAAACAAATTCAGCTGTTAACCTAATGACATACCAAAACTGTTCCTGTGATGATGGCTGCAGCAAGTGACTTGAATAGGAGCACAAAGAAGAAGGTGGTCTTTACCTAAGACAGAACGACCAGGATCCTTGGCATCATAAATCACACTGAGAAGATGATTATTAGGAGTGAATGCAAAAGAAGAGGATGAAAGCCTATTTCTTCAGTATGTTGATACTGATAAATTGATGATATTCCTTCCAGCCTCCATTTTTACCTACAGAATCCAGGAATCTTTTAATATTAACCTATTGTAAGCACATTATTTTTGTCCATTTTGGAATCTTCTGGGACATAAACCAACTTCTCTGCTTGGTTTTGGTTGTGGTTGGTTTTTTTTGTTTGTTTTTGTTTGTTTGTTTGTTTGTTTTTCTTTTATGTTACATCTCCTCTTAAAGTGTAAGGACAAAAAGTCTGCTCTAGTCTCCACCAAGGTGACAGCCACCATTACCGCTTTCTTCACTAAGAGAAAGACTCTTTCGCAGCTGCTGTTCTATAAACTGCGAGTACCCATAAGAAGGCACCAACTTTTACTGTGACTGTTGCACAGCGAGAAGTCAAGTCTCTATTTCTTTAGGATTACATTAAAACAAAAGCTAAATGAGAGTTTTGTTCTTGTTCTGAGCCTTATTCAGCCATTCACAGAAATTCTTGTAAAAAGATGATGCAAGGACTATCCCATTTTACAACTGTATACACTACAATCTCTGTATTTACTTGAAATTTAAATTTTGGTTCTCTCTTCCTGAAATTAAGCCCCTCCACTTCAACTTCTCTGAAATAATAGACTAAATTCTAATTGTGTTAATTGATGTAGTCCTATTAGCCAGTTAGTTGTTGACCTTCAAACTGTAAGCATCTTCTGCGAAGTTCTAATCTGCTCCAAATAACTTCACTGAAAAAGCAAAGTCTTAACAGCAGCTAACGTTCTTGTTTTTTAGGCCAGGATTTCCAGCGAAGAATGAACTCACTACTGCCTTGTGTTTCTTTCAAAAAACCCACATCTTCATTTCTTATATGTGCATACTTACTGACAGATGGAACCAAACTCCTGTTCCTAGTGCTTAGTCTAACTGCACCCAGTAATAAACAAATGGTTGTCGGTGGATAATGCAGTTCTAACTCCCGCCACAAG